AGCGCCAATAAAAAAGAAGACGATAAACTTATAGTTAATATGTAGTATTAAACCAAATTTATATAAATAAATGTCTATAGCGTTTAATCTGACGATTTTTTTGTCTTCTGTTAACCTAGTAAAATTTTCTGCTTACCATTTTTGTGAAACATTGTGAACCCAACTGCTATTTTGTATGCAAATAAACGGAACGGAAAGGGCTAAAAAGACCTACTACAAAAAATATCGGGGGAAATTTTACTGTAGGCCTCTGAAGACAGGAATTTGGAATGCTTGGAGTCAATTTATTCATAACAAGATTAATTAGTGACCAAATAACGGAAACCTTAACCCACGCAAAACCTGTTTATGGTTTAACATGGATACAAACCTTTGTTTAATATTTTGTTAAAGCCCTAAGACGTCTGTTCCATATTGGTTTTTATCAACAAGTAAATAGGTACTAACACAAAAAACTGAATTTAGACATCTTGTTCCGACGTTACATTGAGTACAGTTTGGGAAATAATTGATTGCGATAGAAGCCTGTTGGGGCGATTGAAATGATCAATTATGTTCGCGGCCACGAAAAAGGTGTGTCGTCTACGATAAAATTTATAGCTCTATAGCTCTGTAAGCAAAGCTTTCTCTGAACTAATATTTTACAGGGACATGAGTAAAAGATTTTAGAGAATTTCTACATCAGTCTCTTTAAAAAAAAAAATCCTTATGTTATTTTCGCGGTTAGTCCTCGGAATGTTGTGGCAAAAGTTCTTATTGGTTTGGTTAACAAGTATTAGTATATACAAACGTTCCTAAGAGCCATTGTCTTGCTCAACATTTTCCTCGTTACAAAATATATTAGCAACATAAATAACAATAAAACAACATACAAATGCAAAAGAATACGTTGAAGAATGAAAAATTGGTTTTGACACAATTTAATAGCTTGTTAGCACTGTTTCAAAATGAGAATGCATGTATGTACGTCTTGTGATTGTGTGTGTTGGTGTTGGTGATGGTGTTGGCGCTGGATTTGGCGTTGGTGGGATACATGAAAACAACACAAAGAGCTGAGCAAATGTAATCGTTCGATACGCACATGACAACACAAGGATATGGTACAGGGATGCAAGTAACGCCTAATAGATAACATACAAGGCAATATGTTTACAAAGGCTTATCAACATACCTGTTGCTGTTGTGGCTGTTCAACATCCTGAGGTGGTGCGGTGGCCGCTCTTTTGCCACTTGTAGAAGCTGCCGATACCAGTGCTGGTGAAACTGGTGGTGTTGTCGTGGTGGTCGTCGTCGTCGTAGTAGTGCCGGTTGCTTGTGGCGGTGAGGGAGCTCCCACAGTCGCAGGATTCGTATCGAGTGTGTGTTTCGAAATGACAACCGTTGTGGTCTTCTGAATTTTATCTTGATCATGATGCTCTGCTGGAGACTTTGGTGGAACTGAAGTGAATGCATCAGCGGCACGCACGATTTCAAGTACCTTTTCAAAACCAAATAAGAAAATAAATTTTGTTACGCATATTTTTTAAGGCTAAACTCATATGTGCATAGCGCATATTTGCTGCAAGAGTGACGTAATCAAACAAAAAAATAATAATAAATAAAGTATGCAAAGATGGCCGCTACTACGTGTTCTTCTATGCTGTGTACAAATTTCCAATACCAGTAACTCACTATCATAACCCGGTAGAACTTGGGAGCATCGTACGATTGCTCGGTGAGTACTCCCTTGGGAGTATACGAATACGGGGAGTTCCCTATGCTTCTGTGTATAAGCATGCAATTTTGTATACTCCCTTTCACATTGTATGTCCTAAGAGCGTAAGTAATCCCTTTTACCTCCTAAACGAGCAATCTTATTGCCAAAGGGATATTAGATATACCTCACATTGGGAGATCTCCCTTAAGGTTCTAGCGGGAAAACATGTATTAGTTTTTATTATATGTATAAGTATTAGACTGTGTCAAATATAACGAATATTTTTTTTTCGTTGTCCGTCACAAAAAAAGTAAAATTGTGGCAAAGTTTCAGCCCTCTATCTTCATTTTTCAGTTAGCGCTCGCAAAAATAAGAATTTTTAATGGAAAAAAGTTTTTCTGCCATTTTTTTCAATAAACAATTATATATAACCAATAAGACTTAGACCTGACTTGAGTTACCTAGAAAGTTAGAAACGATTACTCTCCGTGTCATCTTATGCTTTTTCTCTTTTTTTATTCTCAGCATTTGTATTTGTACATGCAAAATTGTAAACGTTTAATTTGTTTGAGGTAAAATTGGATAAAAATTACAATTGAAATAAATGTATTTAAACGTTCCAAATTGTGACTTTGTTTTATAACTCAACTTTAACGGTTGACGTTTGGCACTTTTTTTTTTGACGTAGAATACGTCTTACGTTTCGATGTGGAGGCTATGCTCAAATGTTGTAGTGGTAATTTTTAGAGCTTCACGAAAACGCTCATTGCATGAGAACTTATGAAGCGATTTCAAAGCAAAGTATGGCGTTTCAAATTTCAAAATTCCAAACCTATCGGCAGATATTTTTTTAAGTAACCAATTCGGTTTCTGTCGGAGAGGCAACGGTAAATATTGGCTTATTTTGGGGTAAATTTTGAGCCTTTAAAGTGGTCTAGCAACTTAACATTTACAGATATAACTTTCATTTTCGGGATATAGGTTCTTTGGAACAATAGAAGTATTATCGTGTACAAATTTTATATAAATTCTACAAATATTGAGCATTTTAAGGCAAACAATTTTTGAAATTTTTTATTACCAAAATGCTAGAAAACCGCTCAAATGATTTTGTTTTGGTTTCCTTTAATCAAAAATTCAAGGTTTTTCCTTTCGTTTGGTACATTGGAAGTATTGGTTGATATCTTCTAAATACATATGTTTATTTTATTCAAATATATGGGCATAAATGATTATCCATACAAAAATCAATTCGTCATCATTTTGCAAACACGTGCATGCGTTGGAAGAACAGAAGGAGACAAAAAGTTTATGTGGGCAGGTAATTCGGCTTTTGAGTAACATATGCCGCAATATTTATGACCTAACCGAGCGTATGTTGTGTAAATACATACATATGTATATTAGACTGCATCACCAAAAAAAAGTTGCGGTTTTTCCACCGGGATTACAAAATTTATTATAGACGTCCACCAAAATATTTCGGAAAAATATTAAGATTTAAGCGAGCTGGACCGATTTGAAAATACCTCCAAAAATTAAGTTTTTTGTGAATAAAAATAGTTTTTTAAAGAACTTTTTGAAAAAAGTGCCCCCAGATGACAAATTAGATTAAGCTTAAAAATTCTGCATAAAAATATTTGCAAATCTTTTCAACGGAATCGTAAGAATGAGATTTTTGATGCTGTTTTTTTTTCTTTTTTCAAAGATTGGTTTACGAAAAACATGAACAACTAGGCCAACAAAAAAAATAAAAATTCTGATTTAGACTTATGGGACTCAGTAGAAAGGTATTTTCACACTGTCTTATTTCTGGTCAAAAAAAAATTTCATTCGTGTGCCATCTTGTTTTTTCGAATACCAACACATCTTAATTCAACTTTGAATGACGTTCGTTCATCCTACCTTCCTCTTCCATCCTTTGAATGAGTTTATTAGCAATGACACCTCTTAAGTCTAAACCGGAAGAGTTTAGGTTCAGTTATTCAAGTTTTTCCTATACCAGTCTTTGAAAAAAGTTAAAAAACAGCATCAAAAATCTCATCATTACGATTCCGTTCAAAAATTTTTTTTTTAATATTTTTATGCAAATATGTATTTTAAGCTTAATCTGTTTTGTCATCTGAGGGGACTTTTCTCAAAAAGTTCTTTACGAAACTATTTTTATTCAAAAAAAAATCCATTTTTGGAGGTATTTTCATATCGGTGCAGCTCACTTAAATCTTAATATTTTTCCGAAATATTTTGTTGGACGTCTTAAAATATAATAGATTTTATAATTCCAATGGAAAAGTAGTACCGATTTTTTTTTGTATGGGGAGTGATGCAGTCTAATGTAAATATGTTGATTGCAGTTAATGTGGATCTGTTTTTCTTTTAGTAATCTAAGTATGTATGTATACAGTGAAACCTCCCTTGGGCGGACACTCACCGTCAGTCATTTTTTGTCCGCCCAAGAGAGGTGTCCGCTTAATGGAGGGGAAGCCTATTTTAGAACTTTTTAATGTTTTAATTAATTGAATAGTCACTATTTCTTATTTGAATAAAAGATATTGATATTACATCGTTCAAACAAAAATGTGCATGTATTTTTTCAAAAGTGCACATTTCATTTATGTGCGTAAGTACATATTAAGTAATAACAAAATAAAAATAAATATTACATTTTAGTCCATAAACTACATAAAATCATAGCTTCATTACATAAAAAACTGGGAAATTGTCGGTTGACGTAAATTTTATTTTTAATATTTTTCAGTGTCAGTACCTTTTTCATCAATAGTTTTCATGTTTTTATCAGTCTCCAAGGGTTTCTGACAATTCAAATAACGAACCTAAACCACTGCGCAAACCAAACTAAATGTGTGCATAACAATCACATTTTGTGCGGGAAGTCCCCTTTTTCCATTTAGTAGTCCGCCTATGAGGAGTTCGCGTCAGCTCAACGGAGGTTTTTGTTTGATTTGTTATGAAAAGAAATCTTAATGTCCGTTGATAAGAGGTTCGCGTCCGCCCAATAGAGTTTTTGTGTCAATTTTATGCAAAATAACTGTCCGCGTCCGGCCAAGAGAGTGTCCGCTTAAGAGAGAGTAATTTGTTCCGAAATGTATACTTAAAACTTGGTATAGGAAAAAATCTCCGCCCAAGGGAGGTGTCCGTCTAATAGAGGTGTCCGTTAGGAGAGGTTTCACTGTATATGAATGCCTAATACGCGAAACCTTTTTCGTCATATCAGATCTGTACTGTTCGTTCGATTTTACAAAATGAGGTATCAAATTAAAGGGCTTGGCCTGTGGATGTGCAATAACTTCTTATTTTTTTCAAAAAAGGGGTGCCACCTGATAAAAAAATAAAATTCACATTATTTTTAAGTTAAATCAATTATTACGCTTGAGTATCGATCGAAATAGTTTTGAAAATGCTTTATTTCTTATTTATATGTAGGAGGCTGGCCAACTATTTCAAAAAGCAAGTTCGACTTAAATAAAGGCAGAAAACTGAAAGGTATATCCTGATATGGATATCCGATGAAAGAGGTTGTTGTTTGAAAATATTTTGCAGAGGGTTGCCACCTTGTTACAAAGTTAGATTCAATATAAGCAATAGGTTAAATAAATTACTTTAATATGAGTATATGTAAATCAAAATTGCTTTGAAGAAACTTCATTTCTAAACTGCATGTAGGAGGGTTTCCATCTGATTTTATAATTAAATTCAATTTTAATTAGGAGTATTAGATAATTTAAATGTGTATCACAATACAAGTGTCAGACAAAAAAGGTTTAACGAGGTTTTGGTTTAAAGATAGTTTGAACAGGATTTCCATCTGTTTGAAAAGTCGAATTAAATTAAATTACATGAAATATTGAAATATGGGCGTCAAACAAAGGAGTATTATGAAATATTTATTTTGAGCATTTATAACATTAAAGAGGAATTCCATCCGTGTAAAAAGTAAAACTTAAATTATTTAATAAGTGAAATGAATGGTGGAGTGCAAGAAGACCCGCGGATATAACGCCCATGGGCTTTATTTCCCAAAAAAAAAAGAAATAAAGCCCATGGGCGTTATTTCCATTTCGAAGGGGAAATATCGCCCACCAATAAAATAAGTGCAATAATGGCGGCGGACTTTATTGCCCAAAGAAAAGGAAATAACACCCGCTTAATTTATTTCTTAAAAAAAAGGAAATAAAACCCGTGAGTAATACTTTCTCTGGCTTTATTTTACTGAAACTTTTGCATAAAATGGAACGTATTTTACACGAATTGCGCTCTATTTTTGCATACAGTGTAGTTCTGCGTTAAATTCCCTTCTGCAGTATACGCATAAAATCGAACGGTATTTTTGCCAATAACTGACAAGCGATTTGAAATTAAAGGTGAATTGTTACTGTTTTTTTAGCCTTCAATGCGATGAGCATATTTGCTCTCAGCGTTCTAGGTTTTACAGTGGTGGCGGGCAAACGCGGACGGCTGCGGCACGCGCGCCAATATACTCGACAATCGACGAAAGTATTTATTTAGCTTTATACTTTTTCCTGTTCCTTTTCTTGTTGAGAATTTAATTTATTTAATTTTAATACACATGTACATATACACCAGAGTTGTGAAAAAAGCATTAATGGTACTTAAAGCACTAATGTTAATGTAAAATTTAATGCATTAATTTTTGAAATTTAATGCAAATAAAAATTTTAATGCATTAAGTCTGAAAAATATAATGCTAATGAAAATTATTTTCATTAAATCTGTGTTCGTATGGAAAAGTAGCTTATGTCGAACAGCTGGCTTTAGTATAATGCGGCATTCCCTTTATTCTTTAAACGCCGAGAAATTTTTCGATGAGACTTAATAAGAATAATGACTTGCTAGTATCGGAACTATTTCTGGCACGTTTATTTGCCAAACGTTGTTCAACAGCTCAGCTGCTGTGAGTCATTCGCAATCGCATGCTGCGAATGCCGATTTATACTAAATCCAGCCCTTCGACATAAGCTACTTTTCCATACGAACACAGAAATTATCCAAACTAATGCTAATGAAAAAATTTTAATGTATTAAAATGTTTAATGATTTCGTTCGTTTGCATTAATAAAAACCATTAAATTTATTTTCTCGTGAAATATAAATAACTTTTTTTGCAAGGACTTCAAATAGTTACTAATAGTTTTTTTTAGCTTCATTCTATTATGTTTATTTGAAGCAAAAATTCTTGTAAGCAGTTTTAGATGTTTTATGAAAATAAAAGCAATGTGCGTGCAACTCATTGTGCTTTTGTAGACTTTTATGTTGATTTTAGGTGCATACCGATTATATTATGGGCCAAAAACGGACAGTTAGCCAATTTAGCAGCACATGTCCACGACTGAAGACCTATTCTGATCTAAATCATTCAACAAACCATTTTAGTTCCATTTGACAATGTGTTTTTACCTATCTGACTACAAATGCCATTGAATTTGACATAGTGAAAATTTTTTAAAGCCCGTGGGCTTAATTTCTTTTTCGAAAAGGCAATAACGCCCGTGGGCTTTATTTCTTTTTTTTTTTTAGGAAACAAACCCCATGGGCGTTATTATTATTATTATGAGTTATTAAAGTATGGGTATAAATTGACATGGGTACCATATATTTAAGAAATTAAATTCAACTTGAATTAAGGGAATTATATACACAACTTAAATTTGTATCGCAATATGTGTGTAAGTCGGAAAAGGTTTAACAAGGTTTTGGTTTTAGAATGTTTTGAATAGAGTTTCCATATGTTTTAAAATTAGAATTTAATTATAGTAAGCATAAGCTAAATGATATATTAAAATATGACGTGAAACAAAGGTGGTAAGATATCCCTAGTTTGAATATTTAGAATATTAAAGAGGGTTACAACTTCTTTAAAAAGGTAAACTCAAAATATTTAATAAGTTAAAGCAATTATTAAAAATATGGGTATCAAATTAAATGGGATTAAAAGGCTTTATTTCTGAGCTGTATTTGGGAGCGTTGTCACGTATTTAAAAAAGCAAACTCAACTAAATTCATCAGGCACATGGAATTTGTAGGTATCACAACATCAGATGCATGAGATTTTTTTATTTCTTAACTATATTCTTCTTATACTTAGCTAACTTATGCACAAATTCGAAGACGAGGATAATGAGAAGACGAGCACGAACACGAAGAAGAATACCAATACGGGGACCTAGGCTAATATAAAAATTAATATAAATTTCTGCAGTATAATACGAAATAAAAATGAATCCAAGTAGTCATACACGTCATGGCATATCGTCAAAGTACAAAACCGCGTCTCGTCATTTTGCAAACTGACAACTGTAACTGACATTTGCTGCCAAAAAATGGATTTGCTCACACAAGCTCTTGGCCTCAACCCTTATCCATTCGTCCTGAAATATACTAGCCAGAAATGCGATTGCTTTATAAAAAAGAGAACCATTTTGGAATATGAGTGTTTTTACTATCTAGAAAATAATTTATGCAACCTCACATTTTTGCACTATCTTGATACACGGTGTTGCATTTTGTTGATACGCGGTTTTGTACTTTAAACGACGATATGCATGTATATTTATAAGCTGATGGTACATGTGATTGAAGTTAATGTGGATCTGCTTCTCTATAGCTAATTAGTAATATTTTTCAATTCATATTGATATTGGCGCTGGACTGATCCTTTTTTGTTGAAAGTTCCGTTCATTTTTGTCTTTATATATAAACACACTTTGTATGAAATAAAATTACTGACACCGTCAACAAACAAAACAATTGGGTGCAATTGTTAAAGTTAAAATTATTAATTAAAATTAATTAATATTTTTTAATATTTTTTTTTGCTAATGAATTTTTGTACTTTTTCTATGTAGGCACGAATTTCTTATAAATTAGGGAAGACCGTTCGCAGCAAAATGTCCAAAAACTAACGCCAGCTTTCGTAAATTACAATTGTTGTCAGTTGGAACTTGCATTTAATCAGACTAAATTTGTATGGACTATAAAACTGCATACCCAAAAATGTTGAAACTGTAATGAAATTTGTTGAATTTTCCTAAATTTTTTATAAACTTTAAAACTGTGATTTATATGGTTTTTGTTAAAGCTTGCACAATATTTGTATAGAAATAAAATTAACTCGAAATACATATGTATGTATAGGATATGAATATCTAAAAAAAAGTCTACACGTGGTCACTTGTTTGAGTTACCGTACATATATAGGGTGCATTCCAAAACGTTAAAATACCAAGCATCAGTCTCTTTTATTTCTAAACCAGACTAGAAGAAAAAGTCTAACTTGCGCAAGCTAGTTGAAAATTAGCGTCTTACCGAGGTTGCGCACATTTGGCTTTGTATTTTGATGTTTTGGAATGCACCCATACATAAATATAAGCCAGGTGGTTTAAACATGTTATTTTTTTTTAATTGCATACCTTTTCCGGAGTGCTCTTTTCCTTTGGTTGTGCCAACGTTTTGTCGGCATTGGTTAAAGTGGTAATCGCATCTTGAGGAGTTTGTGATGACTGCGGAACGCCACTTTTTGATGTATCGCTTTCAGCTACATTCTGCTGCGACAAAAAGCATACACTCGGCGGAATGGTGGGCGAGTGGGCCAATGCCGCCACAGATGCTAATACTGATGGTTCGTTATTCGTCTCGGTTTTCGGTGCAAAAACTTCAAAATCCTACGGAGTAGAAGAAAATTTACAAAATTGTAGATTATCTTTAACAACCATCCCTCCTTCTATTTTCCACACCTATGCTCGCATAAGATCGGTTTTGTTTGTTTACCGCAAGGTATGTGTGGGAAAAACAAATACAATGAACAGATGAAAGCAGAAACGAGTAGTATGGATACAACTACTTAGCTCATTAAGAAATTGTTTAGATTAAATGTTTCGGATTTAAACGAGATGATGCTCTATTCGCACACCTCTAACGGGTTGGCGAATTGAAAGCCGCAATTAAATAAAACCATGTCGAAGCAGCCACAAAACAGCTCCCAATTGGACGCAATAAGACGGCAATAAATTTGATATTTTTTTAAGGAGTTTCTTGGGTCATAATAACTGTAAATACATACATTAAATGGGAGGCCCATCTCTCACACTGGGCCTATTTTTTTTTTTAATTCCGATTTCATAAATTAATTCTATAGGCAAACTTGTATACATCAAATATGTATCATATAGGTGGCATAATTATAACAACACCAATGTGCATATATACATATGTACATATGTGCATATATAGAGGGCTCATATACAATTATTGAACAAAGAACAATATTTAACTCTCTAAATAAAAAATAATAATTCATTAAATTAAGCTGTGTGTACTCACTTGTCGTATGCGCTCATCTTCGTCCCTATCCAAGCTGGACATACTCTGACTTTGGCTCAGTTCAGAACCTGTTTCAGAAGCACGGGAACCTTAACACAGAAAAGGAACAATTAAGAAATGAGCATAACTATGTGTTCATGTATGTACATATCTAAATAACATAAATAAGTAAATACTCGTAGTTAACAGATGATGCATATGAAACGCTCGTATCTATATATATTTTTTTTGCAGTATAATAAATTTTATATCCAAAAAATGGATACTGCGGGTTTTTCCAACCCTGTAGGGACCTCAATAACTGCAAATGCATTATAAGTTCAATATTTTTAAACTAGGTGTGACTACGACTGGACTACTTCAACTGACTACTTTTACATGACGCTGTGGCAAAAAAGTTAGTTTGTTTCAGCTAACTTCAAACTGTTCTGTGCAATCTAACATAATGTTTTTGGTACTCTTGGTTTTTGTATTTATTTTAGATTATTACATAAATATATGATAACTATTTAGTTGGCATGTATAAATGTAAAGAAGTGCTATTATCGTACATATGTAACATATGTATGTGCATACATACACATATGTGCATTAGACTACGTCAAAAAAAAACATCCTGCAACGCAACCGGAATAAGACTCAAATTTTAACATTTGGTATAGTAATGATCCTCCATGAATCTCCCCTCTTTACGACTATTCTAAGACGTTCCGCGTCGAGCCTTTAGTTTTACCATAGGAATTACACGTAAGAAAATGAGAAATTAGGACTCTACAGTTTAGCAAGGTTTGACTATTTTTTTTATGAAAGTAAATCTCCTTTCCTTACAAAAACCAAAAAAATGCAAATTTCAAACTTTCCAAAAGAAGTTTTTGATGGTAACGTGAGCTCCGATTAATCTTTCAGCCATGACAATAATGTCAAACTTAAAATATAGCTTTAATGGTATTATATTCTCACTCATAATTCCACTCTGCAATAACATTTTGTTATAAATGCAAAATCCTCTATTTACACAATTATGCTGGAAAATTGTTTTTGTTAACATTTTTTGGGACAGGTAAGTTACATGTGCCTATGTATGTATGTATATGTTACCGGTAAAATCAGATCTTAGGTCAAACTAGTTTCGCCCAGGCAATCTTCCATATCCCGTCAAATATAGAGTCATTAAACTCCATTACTCCATTTTTTCTCAAGGGCCACCAAGAGTGGAAAACTGTTATTATTATTTCTATTGCCAAACTAAATAGAATCAATTCATTAGTTTCTAACTACATACCCAATTCCCTCCTCCCCTGCATATCTAAATTATTACGCTGGAAAAATAGTGACAGGATGTACAATGCTGTTAAGTCTTTCCTTTACAACCGGAAGTTCGCTGTTCGTGTCAATAACTGTTCCTCTCTTTAATCGTGTCCCACAAGGATCACCACTTTCAGTTATTTTATTCAATATAGCCTTTGGGAAAGTTAGCTCCATTATATTTTTTCTAAGACTAAGGACTTGACACCCCTATCCGCTAGACTGACACATTGAAAATATTGGGAATAAGTTTTGACAATAAACTTACTTAAAAGCTGCACTGTCATAATGTAAGATTAAGCTTACTTGCTAGACTAAATATTATAAAGTTTTTATCACCCAAGTATTTTTTAGTTCATATAACTACACTGGTATATGTAATTAGGGCTTTTATATTAGGAAAAATTTACTTTGGACTCGTAATTTACGGACACTGCGCAAAAAGTATCTTAAATTGCTAGAAACACCTCACCATGCAGCAGTCAGAAGAACCATAAGCATGGGGTAAAGTACAAAACAAAGATGCGCATCACAAAGATTGTTCACTGCAGAAATGAGGCTTTATTCTTTCACGCTGAATCCTGCTTTCAACAAAAAAAAAGCCGATGAAACAAGCAATCAGCTTTATTTCGTATATTAAGCTACATCAAAAAATTAGACATTATATCTACTCCGATGCCTACTAAAGTAAAAACTTTACCGCAAGGGCATTTGCCCAGTTCTATACTCATAAATGACCTGGAACTTATTTTCACAGACGGTTCCAGATATGATACCAGGTGTTCTTTTGCGGTAACAAAAGGACTTGGACAATTGTCGTCGGTGCTTTTCCCGCTTACTACTCGGCATTTACAATTGCTAGAAGATGTACCTTACGCGTCTAAAAACGAAGGAAATTACCTCATATGCATGGACAGTAAACCAGCTATCGAAGCCCTCTTTAACAGTGTTAATGATTTTCATATAATTTCAAAATCACGTGAAATACTCTTTCGACACAAAAACACCATTAAAATTATGTGGTTACCTGGCCACGTCGGAATAGAAGGGACCGAGTTTGCAGACCAGTGATTTATGGGTTAAAAACTTAGTTTAACATAACATTTACATCTAAAGAACTGACATTCTCATTATTCTGCAAAACCCGCTACCAGCAAATTTTTTTATATAGTTACAATTTCAATTGCAATAACCTCTATCTAATCTTTAAACTAAAATTAAATGAATTAAAGGTAAAATCCTAGTATTAATATATAGCGTGAATTTTTAAGACATGCGTGGGTACTTAAAATTATTAACGCTTTTAAAAATAGCTGCCAAAACAGTTTTTTTGCTCTCCTGAAAAATTGAGTTTTTGCAGATAGAGGGTATTGAATATAAGCCCTAGATATGTATTGTGTGGCTGAAAAAAGGTCATAATACTAGTGGTAGAAATAAAATAAACGCCTTATTTCAACCAGTTTAGTCTATATTTCTTTTCTTTACTTAATATTTAAATTTTTTTATAAAAGTCTATCTCATTTTATAATTAACTGCAAATAAATGCGCATTTCATAATTTGTACAAAAATTATAAAAATGCAAAAAAAATTACTAAAATTGGAAATTTTTTACTCAGCATTTTTAGAAAAATTTTAGGTACGCAGTTTTATAGCCCATTAAATTAAAGTAGGGTAAAATGAAGCTTCATGCAATTACAAAATACCGTTTATTTTGGGAATTTTTTAAACGATGCTGGGCATTTTCTACCATATAAACAAATTTCCGAACATACTGTATATGGAAAAAAATTCGTGACAAAAATCAATGTTACTTTTAATCACTTGAAACTTGCACTTTATCCTCCTGCAATTTAATGGGCTATACTTATAAAATTGCGTACAAAAATTCTGAGTAAAAAGATTGAAACAGTTTGAAACAAAAAAAAAAATTTAAAACACACAAAGCAATCAATATACTCAAGACACTACGGCCCAAATACATAAATTTCGGGTTCAAAAGGACGAACAGATATTGAAATGCCCCTTTTATAATTTTTTTTTAAGCTAATAAAATTAGAAAGTCTATATTCGAGGACGTCGTAGAGTTTATATCAGTCCTAAACATATAATTTTTTCAAAATAAATATTACAAAATTTTGAGGATATTCAAGCATACAATTTTTAAGGACATTTTTAATACCTTATGCATCAAAAAATTTAATATGTTCTTTCTCTACAGAATTTTCTCTTTAATTTGATACCCATACTGTTTTCCTAAGTACACTGCACTACATTTTTTAAACCATTTTTTGAATTACTCATATTATTCAATTTTCAAAGCCCTTTTAAAAAATCCTGACGTCAGAGAGAAAAGCTAAAAACGCTATTTTACTGCATACATTTGGCCCTTGGCTTCGTGAATATATTGAATCTTTGTGTGTAAAATTGCCTGTCGCACGGTGTTATGTGTATGTATAATTAGCTAGACATATGAGCCATTCTTTTTTAGGTCGGACGGATTTCGTAAAAAAATTATTTCATCTCCGATTCGCTTCAAATTTTCTGCAAATAAAATTTTAATTCTTGCAAAAACTCGATGTTTAACACCTTACTAAATATATCTCAACATAAGTTTTGGAAAACAAATTGCAAAAAATTCTCACAAAATAAACCATCTCGTCATAAAGAAAAATTTTTTAAAAATAGTTCTTGAAAAACCCCCATGTTTTTGAACCACGTTTTTTATGGAGAATTAAAAAAGGATTGCGATGGTATAATTTTAAATCCCTAACTCACTGGTCTTCACTATGCAAATAAACTTCAAAAAGTTTAACTGTTAATAGTTAAGTTAGCTTTAGGACAATCTTGACCACCTTATATATAGAACTTAATACTTCTGTCTTTAGCTTTAAAACGACGTTAAGATGAAGTCTCTACGATGGGCAGAACCCGAGATTTGAAGGAGTACATGATTAGTCAAAATCACGAAAAAATGCAAACTTTGACAGATCATATCTCCAAAGAAAAACGCGAAACAAAAAATTCCTCCAACACGTGTCAGTTTATTTCATGTATAGAACCCATAAAAAAATTTTGAAGTTAATCGAAAGTGTGACATCAAATTTGATGTCCGATATTAAAAAGAATGTCTCATATATTAAAAAAAGATTAAATATTAAACAACAGAAGTATAGCGAAAACTGTACAATAATATTTAACGCCATATAAATCCACATTTCAAACTATATAGAGAAATTAAAAAAAAAGTAAGTGCGCCTGGGCCGCAATGGAGAAGTGAAACTTACGTTACATACATATCTATTTCGTCTACATACATATCTACATCTGCCTTTGCTTAACGTTAAATTTTTTGTCTATCTAGATCCCTATTTCTACCCCTGTTCGTTCTAATTACATTTATGTTATTCTGTTTTCCTTTATCTTCATTTTTATCTTTATACTCTATCGATAGTAACACCCAATAAAATATCGATAACAAAACCGATTAAAATATCGATAACAAAATCGATGAAAAATTCGATAAAAGTTTCGATGGCAAAATAATTAATAATAATATTGGTAGCAAAATCTATTATATCGATAAAAATATCCATAACAAAATCGATAAAAATATCGATAACAAAATCGATAAAAATATCCATAACAAAATCGATAAATATGAAGAACAAAATCGATAAATATAGATACCACAATCTATAAATATGGATAACAAAATCGATAAATATCGATAACAAAATCGGTAAATATCAATAAGAAAATTGATAAACATTGATACCCAAATCGATAAATATCGATAATAAAATCGATAAATATCAAAAAAAATCTATAACAAAATTTACAAATATCGATACCCAAATCGATAAATATCGATAACAAAATCGATAAATATCGAAAAAATCTATAACAAAATCTACAAATATCGATAGCAATATCGATAACAAAATCGATAAATATCGATAACCAAATAGATAAATATCGATAACAAAATCGATGAAAAATTTGATGAAAATTTCGATGGCAAAATCGATAAAAATATCGATAACAAAATCGATAAAAATATCCATAACAAAATCGATAAATATCAATAACAAAATCGATAAATATAGATACCACAATCTATAAATATGGATAACAAAATCGATAAATATCGATAACAAAATCGATAAATATCGAT